AAACCAGTTGTAGTTGGAATAGACACGACAATCGAATTACCATATGCAGGTTTATTCACGGGGATTTCTGAAAATACTTTGTTTGATTCCGTTGCGTCCAGTTGAGTTGAGATATAAGGCTATAACTCATCTGCTGTATCGAAATAACTTTGGTTTTGAATTTTAACGATGGTTTATCAACCCGTAATGATTTCATTTAACAGCAATGTTATTCTGAAGCGAAGTTATCACAAACAAAGCATTGTTTTTTAACCAATCTAATTTTACAGTAGTTTACAGTGTTATTGTTTCTTAATGGCTAATACCAAGTCATCATCTGTTAGCTATTTTATTCAATTAAGGGATTAGATTTGCAACAATTATTAATTAAAACGTAAAGCAAAGGTATGTTGTTGCATGGTTGATGGAAATACGATTAGTAAAGGGGCGTGGGAACACCCCAGAATGAATACTTTCCCCTCGTTTGAGATTATTTCAAATACATTCAACTTTTACCTTGTAATGAAAATTCAAAAATGACAAGTTTGACGGTTGGTGGAGTTTATTCCTTTAAAAAGTTAAATTTGGTCTTTTACCGGAAAAGGGTACGTCAAGTAAATATTATGCTTCTAATTTTCAGTTGATTTTTTGTATTAAATAGTTCTAAGGGTCTGCGATAATTTTGATTATTGATCTGAATTTGTAGTTCCTTGTGATCTAAATACGGTGGTTTAGTCCTGTGGTTTAACACAACGCAGCAGTCGGTGACTCTACAGGGTGTTCCTAAAGTGAAAATTAATATTGTCAGAATATTATAGGAATATCCTATGGTTTTGAAAAATATCATTTATATCCATGAGTGGATATTGATATCTTCATGAGTGAGCGCAGCGAATGAGTGTATCCATGAGTGGATATAATTGGTATTTTTGAAAAACCATAGGATTGTCCGTTCATCCCATGGGAAATCATCATCAACGAAAAAGTTGAAAAATAAAAAATAGGCGATATCACTCTGGCCCTGATATATGAAACATTACTAACAATATTAGAGTAAAATTTATGTCAAATCTACACTATCCTATCACTGGACATTTTCATCGCTAGTTGGAGATATAGTTACCCCCTGCATCCCAAAAGGAAAATATTTCCGAGCCCAGAATAGGCATGTACTAATAGGACTACAAAGTATTAATGAAGATGAAATCCGATATTTGTTCGATGTGAGAAAATGCCAACATCTTTTGGAATTATTTGGTCATGATTCTACATCACACATAATTGTTGCAACGTTTGATAGGTTCCAACTAAATGTATCGTATCACAACGTGATTATTGTTTGGTGCAATATTAAAAATTGGCTGTACCATATACATTTGGAACACCGTGTAATCATCACTCTGTTAAATGACCACTACACAGCATAATAATTAGTGTTATATTTATGATTGAGTGTGATATGGCTTTTACAATTAAATGACCGTACCCTTTCCCCATTTTGCATTTTTATTCCAAAACAGACCGAGAACAGTGTTATTGTTAAATCAAAGCTGTCTATATTTACAGAACGCCCTGGTTAACTAACCTTTTGATCCCGATCGTATTTTTAGTTGTATTAGTTGTTAACTTGTAGATAAAAATAACCCCACTGTCAAAAAGAGATTAATTGATTATTATTATGATACAGAAATTTACACATTTATTGACTTGATTACATGTAGTAATAGCAACCTTAGACGATCTAGTTTAACCGCTTGTATTGGTAACAACAAAATAATGTATATATTGTGCATTATGTAATAAGAATGGGGTTATTTGATAATAGAGACAGTGGCGTAGCCAGGATTTGGTGACCGGGGGTTCTATTTTTATTTATTCACAAATCCCCCCCCCCCCCTTCATTAGGATTCCTCAAATAATGCAATTTGTACAATTACACTCCATCCAAAAGTTTGGCAATCCTAACTAACCCATTGGATTATGTATTAAAGCATGTTTAAGTTTGAATTCTTATATGCACAATTTGTAAAAAAACTATTTTGGGAGGGGAAATATAATTCATAGCAGAGCTCAGTGGTAAGTCCCCCGGAGCAGATCAACTGCAATTGATAATAAAAACGTTTTGGTGGATATAAATCATATATAAATACAAGCGACTGTTCGAATATAAAACGTATTTTGTTAAGTTCAGACGGCTTGATAACAAATTAGGCCTCCATTATTTGAAGATTAATACCATATGATTTTTCAATGTTTTTTATTATGTAATTTATTCGCTACGCATATCATGACATTAACATGAAAATGGAGAGCAAGTAAACTGGAACGATAACAATTTGAATTCTATAAAATCTCTTAGATGAGTGGAGTGTATCTGAAAAAAACAAAATCATTTTTTGCAATGATTGATTTTTCTTTGGAAAAGTGATGTGTAAGTACTGAACAAAAGAATGAATAAATTTGAGCAAATGCTTGTGTTTATAAATGATATACGCTTTTAAATAATTCATTTCACAACGTTTTTAATTATCTAACGCGATTGGTTTTGGGGACTTGCCAGCCCCAGGGATGTCCCAAGAAATATTTTAAATTTTTATTGAAATAAAACAAAACAGATATGTACACATTTGAAAGAACACGTGTTTCATCAATATTACGACTATTCCAGATATTTATTCGTCAATGTTGTAAACATCATTCAGAGTATGGGACGTCTGCATTGTTTTCAATAACTTTCAATAACTTCGTATTGGACCAGAACTGGCTTAATACAAAATTCCTACAAAAACTGATTTAGCCATTGCCCAAGATGGGTTATTTTGTCTAAGAAGAAGCAGCCTTTGCGTTGATTGTGCGAAATTATTGTTATTTCTAAATGTAAAATCTCATGCTCTGGGGTCTTGCCAAAATTAAATCTCACCCCGTGCCTAAGGTTGCCAAACTTTTTGAGGGAAGTGTAACTTCACTATGACATGTTTTTAACAAAATAAGGCTCTCGTGTTCACCAGAACAAATATCAATTCATTTACTGCTCATATATGTAGTTTTCAAATAGCACAGTAATTCAATGTTTCTGGTTAAATGCATTTTTCCGCAAAATGATATTTCGGAAATCCTGACCGGGGGTTCGTTCGAACCCACCGAACCCCCGCTGCCTACGGCTATGAGAGAGATTTGGCAACTCACTTATAGCATATTTATTATTCCTGTATAACGAATAACGTTTGATTATGTCATCAGCTCTTACACGTCCATAAGTGTGTTATTCTTATGAATCATCTATACGTAAGAATATCACACTTATGGACGTCTAGAATTGCGTAATAAGTGAAGACGTTACCAAACGCTTCATATGTAATACGTTATACAGCAATAATAGACATCCTATAAGTGAGTTGCGAAATCTCTAATGTTTCCTTTGTATGTTAGATCATTGTTTTGGAGATTGAGGCTTGTTTCCTTATGACATGTATACTTTAAAATGTTCAGTGTTCATTTCTAATAGTTCTTTTACTTCTCTGGTACATCTTTCCCAATATGGTACATTTTAATTCATATAAGCTATCCATGGAGTGGATACCCTTGTTGGTTAGCAGAACGATCCTGTTCCATATTTACCAGCCTCTGAGGTACACTGCCCATTGTATTGCAATACTTGTAATATATCAAATATATGCTAAACCAATTGCAATTGACAAGCTACTAGCTACTCGAATATGTAGTTAGTGATTGAAAATACCCTGCGCGCAGAGTCTAGGTATAAACTACGAAGACGAAGCTCACTTTTGAGAAGCAAAGTCGAATGAATGCAAAGGGTAGATTGAAGAATGCCATGAAAGAGATAATTGACTCTCCGTACTGTGTTTAACCGTCATCATTTCATTTTCTATGTTTAAAATACTATAATTATACGAATTATTAATAATACATTTTATATTATAATCACATATCACTCAAGTATAATGTCAATAAAATATGCGATACCCGGATCGGGTTGCCATAAATATGAACGGTAAGTCTTATAATACTTTCTGGCACACATCAAGTCAACACTAGCCAAACCTGTCAACCCATCGACACACTAATTGAGGTACAGAAGGTGTCGAAATGTGTTATTTTATGCAAATTCCCAGTCTAAAAAGATAAAATTTGCTTTTGAACATTGAAAGTTAAATAGTAAAATGCTTAATATGTGTGATCTCGTGTATTATACCGTGTTAAGTTTCACATTTATGCATTTTATATGCGTATCATACGTCGGCGTTTATTGATTTGATATGTTATCAAACTTGATCTTTTCACACCAATATACAATAATTCTAAGGATATTTCGGATTGATTTCCACATATTCATGTTTATGATTTAAATTAAATATTGAAGTGTTTTAGAGTCAAAGAGCTGTTTGAAAGGCGTCTGATATCGCCTTAACACCTCCAATTTATACAGAACAACACTTGATGTCACCATGAGCACACTCAACAACTACGTTGATGAAACTGGCCCTTCAAAATTTCTGATGCCGGAATATGTTTAAATCATTGTTGGAATATTGTATATTTTTGTGTTGCGTGAAGATCAGGTCGTTTATTTTTGTATCGATTCATCTCTAGAGTTATCTCAAAATAAGTACATGGGGGAAAATGTTATATATTGTATTTGATTATATTTATAGCAGCGTTTTAGGTGTTTGGTTTCGATGACATTTATCCCATCTCCTCAGACCAACATATACTGATTCTCTAAGCATAGTTTGAATTTTGATGCAAAACTGGTGGTGCTGTCTACAGCACTCTCAAGCTTTTTATATTTTGGGATTCCCTCGTCTCTAATGCCTGGGTCACATTTGCTGCGATTCATCGGCCGGCGCCCGGCCGATTGAGTGTTTTGTTCAGTATTGTATTCAATTTTGAACAAAATACTCAATCGGCCGGGCGCCGTAGTGAAAATCGAGCAAATGTGACCAAGGCATTACTCTACATGATACCAACATTGAACATAACTGGAACGTGTTTTTTGAAAAGCTCTATATTTACAAAATACGTATGCAAATGCGTTCACATATAACTACAACATTACATACAGTTACATTGATATGGAGACATCCTCAGAAACAGCACCACATTGAATTGTTGCTATCATCAAAAGAAACAGATCAAAATATTTTTAAGACACGTCAATGTCTTCATCATATTCAGAGTCAGAGCTAGTCATGTTTTCATCTTCGTTTTGAGAAACTAACAGCATATTGTCTTCAAAATTAGAATGTGGGGATTCTAGTCTCATCGTTTCTTTACTGTACTCATTCCCCATTTCAGTACTGGCATCGTCGTCTACGTCATTAGAAAGATTGCTCAAGTCTGGATGTGGGTTACCCTTGTTTGGTAAAGTTGATTCGCGTGATCTACCAGATGATAAAAGCTCTCGTTCTTTTGAGTTCCTCCATTTCATTCTTCGATTTTGAAACCAGATTTTGACCTAAATAAAAAACATCAAATTATTCATGAAATGCATACTAGGAAAATGTGTTATTATAATGATGTCATAGGTAATAAATTGACGTACATCATGTACAGTTGTTACTAAATTAAATTGAGATGATATCTCAATTGTGAAGTGATACTTTTTTATTTGAATGAGTGACCGATTGTTACTAGCATGATGTAGTAGATCTGATGATATGCATCTTTTGTTTCATGGACTGAATGATAGATTGAAATCGTGTGGGTCACGAATTTAAATATAAACATCAGATAAAGTACATACAATTGGTCTTATGTTCATTTGAAATCTAATGTTTAAATTATATTTATCATTTTTTAGGCTACTACCTTTATGTTTCTATTTGTATTGCTGATAATATGACCAACATTTATCCAATTCATATTCATAAGCAGATGCATGCAAAAAAATGTTTCAAATGAAGAGAAGATATTAAAATGGAAGGGGCCAAGTCGAGACTTCACGCATGGTTCGCATGAACTATAATTTTGGAATAGCTAGAAAACAAACTAAGAGCTGATGGGTATAGATTAGATGTCCCAAGATACACAATTTTCAGTATCGGTCAATCGTGGGTTCACTGTTATAAACGGCGCTATACCTGGGAATCTTTGAGTCCTAGTTTGGCAGCAAGTTTCTTTCTGTCAGGTTTACTTATGTATTTCTGTTTCTGAAACATCTTCTCAAGTCCCTTCCTCTGAAGGTCTGAGAACACTGCCCGTCGTAACATCCCTCTTCTCGGCTTTCCTCGCATGCTGGTGAGAAACGAGAATGCGTTGGGCATTGGGAGCATGGTAGGGGAACCTGAAAAAATGTGAGGAATCAGTGAAACGGCCTAATTGATAGTAAAGTTACCATGTAATCCCCAATTGGTTTTGAAGCATTATAAAGTAAGTGAAGAGTGGTAGGAGGGACTTAATTTCTACAAAATCTAATTGATGGCAAAGTTACCATGTAATCCGCAGTTGGTTTTGAAGTATTACGAAGTAAGTGAAGAGTGGTAGGAGGGACTTAATTTCTACAAAATCTAATTGATGGCAAAGTTACCATGTAATCCCCAATTGGTTTTGAAGTATTACAAAGTAAGTGAAGAGTGGTAGGAGGGTCTTAATCCTTACAAAACCTAATTGATGGTAAAGTGACAATGAAATCCCATGAAGTATTACAAAGTAAGTATAGATCGGTAGGACTCATATTTGTGTCTTTACAAAACCCAATTGATGGTTAAATGACCATGAAATCCCCGGCTGGTTTTAAATATCACAAATGATTGAATAGTGGTAGGATTTAATCCCTGGGATCGCATCATATTAGGGTTTTTACAAAAAACAGTTGATAGTTGAGTGACCGTGTAATCCTAATTGGTTTAAAAAGTATAAAACCAGTTGATTAGTATCAGGTAGTTATCCTAGTTTCGGTCTTTACAAAGCACATTAATGATCATAATAAAGCATTTTAATTAAACGTTTAAATCCCATTTGGTATTTTACGTTTCTATTATACTTGGAGAGTGTCATATATTGATATTGAACGCTAAACCGAGTATATGATTACATTTTTGATTTCTGGTTTAATTTAATAGACAACTATTTTTAATCGAACATAAACTGGCATGTCTGGCATTTCTGAATGTTGATTAGCAAGTAATAATTTGGTTGAATTAATTGTAGCATCTGTTTTTAACTAATAGCATTTCAAATGTTCGCGAAGAAGCATCACTTAGGACAAGTTAAACAAGCGCAATCTGTATCTATTATAATTATTGTTGAAAGATTTATTTCAATCATTAATGTCAAACAATGGTTATATTGAGTAATGTAAACCCGTTTGCTAGTTGTATAAGCAAAGAAATGAATCGTAAGATCATCAAATATAGAATATATGGGCAATTTTATTAAATCTCTGTTTGCATTGCTGTTAGCAGTGCCTCAAAGTGGTTTCGCCTGAGTAAGCATACCATTAACGCTCGACTGAATTAGCTAAAGATCCGCTTTTCAAACACTGGAAACAGAATAAAGTACACAAGACATACAAAAGAGATAAAGGAATCAGTAATAACACTGAGTTAATTAAAGGTTTTTACTCTGTGTAAATAAGCATTGATGTAAGAACTGGTTAAGCACATTGTCCATTTGCATTGAACTTGAGTGATTTATCATGTTATAAATTCATATTTAAGCGCTTTCATTCAACTTCCCAAGTTATTAGTAATATAAGAAATTAGAATGATTAATTTAGAAGAGAGTATTCTAACAGCAATTGTCAATCAACTGGTGGGATTGATGAAGCTGAGGCTTTTTATCTTGTTTTGTCTTGTCTTATGTGTCGTGTCTTGTTTTGTAGGAGGTATATTGTCTTGTTTTATCCGAGCTGTACTGTCTTGTTTCGTCTGATCAAGGACGTCTCTCTGATGTATCTTGTCTTGTCTTAGGTGTTTTGCCTGATGTATCTTGCCCTGTCTTGTTTTGTCTGAGGTAACTTGTCATGTTGTCTTGCCTTTGGCGTCTTGTTTTGTTTTGTTTGAGTTGTACTGTCTTGTTTCGTCTAAGGTATCTTGTCTTGTCTTAGGTGTTTTGTCTAAGGTGTCTTGTTTTATCTGATGCATTTTGTCTTAGGTCTCCTGTCTTGTTTTGTCTGATGTATCTTGTCTTGTCTATGGCCTGTCCTGGGTTTCTTGACTATTATTTCCTGTCTTAGGTTTCAGTTTTCTTCAAAATGTCAATTAATTTGAAGATCAAATTCATGAAATCAAAGAAAATGATATTGTAACAATATACGATGTGTAATTAACCCTATCATGATTAGGGTGCACATTTTGACATAATAGATCTTAATAGTTCCCTTGTGGCCTCCGACTAAGAATCACATGTGTTACAAAAGACACAGAGGTTAAACGAAAGTACCCCATGCCTTGGTGACTGTATTGTCGTATAATATAGCATATTGTGAAAATTTAATATAATTAAATTAAAACTTCCAACTTGGAATTCGATATCATATCATTTTAGAATCACAATTGATTGCTGAACCCGTATATTTATTAATATTTAGTTGCCGCATATTTAAACATTGTTTATAGAATTAAGTGTCAGACTTTTGTTAATCTAATGTTCTGCAATTCGATCCTAATTAAATTTAGAAATGTCAAATAATTTTAACGTGTCTACAAAACAATTGACACCTAATTGCAGGGAGATATAAAGGGTTTCTTCCCATGCAATAAATATTAGTATTTTGATCATGATTTCACATTTTCCTTTACTGAATTAAAATGAAGCAACTTTGTTTTGTTTTGTTTTTCAATTTAAAGTGCAACCATCATGTTTATCTACATATCTATTTTTCTTAACCTGTTAACCAGTCTGCTGGTTTTGTTATTGCATTGAACTTTTAAAAACCAAACATTTGTTCTTAGGGGTTAGAATAATAAATTAAGTGAGACACAGTGGCTACCAGTATATCTGTATGTTTAAATCAACTTTCAAATGACCATCATTTTTAGTTTCTTCCAAACAATATAATTACTATAATCAGGCTTCTGTTCTCGATATAACGGCAGATCTGACGCTTAGATAAATGTCTTGATGTCAATTATAAGGATTAATAAAACATGAATGTATACTTTAGTATTAAAATAATTTAAATTATTTGAATTTTCTTGGAAAATCATAAGGCGATCTTAACTTATTACAAAACAATAAAGACGTTTGAAATACATGCGTGAGTACATATACATGAGAAGCATTAAAAGCAATGAATTTAAAATATTTGTACACACATCATTATGATGTAGTTAAATAAAAAGACCAAGCGTGTTTTATTAACATTTTCGTCAATAAGACTTCCGGTCGCTTGTTCCTCTGCAACGTTTTATTAAAAAAACATAAAGCTACAGGAGGTCATTATGACAAATTAAATCTACACATTCGAAAACAAATAAATTAAACATTAAAAATATAGAACCATAAATAAATAATACTTCTCCTTTTAGAAGAACTAATTTGAACTGATTTCTATACTTTAATTGATGTTTAAAGTGTATTTACACCTGCTCAGAAGCGGCCAGATATTATGGCACACGAGCTGTAAAGTTCATTTAAATACAAAAACATTCGCTCCTAATTAAGTACAACGATACTTGTAAGTAAATCTACCATTGAAGCTTTGTCTTAAGAGTCCTTCAAATTTGCGTGACAAAATTTCTAAATGAAAAACGATCAAGTTTAATTTAACTTGCTCATTCTTCTCCTCAGCGTTCCCTGTATTGTAAAAGAGTTATGCAGACAAGGACTCTACAGGGCTCTTCTGCCCATTATTGTGATCAACAAGTACTTGAAAAAAAAGAAAAAATTAAAACTTTTCATAAATCTGACATCAGTCAATCTAATTAAAAAACCACTTTATTAAGACCACCTAGTTAAAGCACTAAAATCATGAATAGTTAGTTGTTCGATCAAGCAGTATCCTTGTTCCAATCCTTCAAAATTTAGTTGCACAATTTAACACAAAGGTTGAATATTTCTTTTTCTAGTTTGGTCACCTAATGATTTTTGCATGTAAACGGCATGTTACACCAATGATGTCACAATTTTCATCTTCTTTATCGGGTGAATCTAATCCAATGAATTGTAATCTGATCCATCGGATCCATTGGATTTGTTCTGACTTATGTTGTTCGCTTGAGTAACTAATACTATTTATAGGGATTGTTTTGTTCAATTGGTATTGCCCGTTGTGCTTCCTCGATTGGCTCTACACATGTAACTCATAATTATCGTACATCATAGAATAGTTTCATTTAAGCATTCAAAGTAGTTGCTACTTGCGTTTTTAGATGTTGTCACGTGTTCTGAAACACCAGTTCGAAGAAATACCACGAGAAGCGTACAGTAAATCATCCGAGTCATGAGAGAAGTTTTGATAACTTTAATTTTAATGTCTCACGAGCAATACTTATTTAAAGTATAATGAAAAGTGACCATTTGGGTACAAATTGTAGTGATCATGTAAGCGCTTTAATGTTTATATTGCGCTGAACCTCGCGCTATATATGTTATTACAAAGAGATGTATGAATATTACATCACGTCTTAATAAAAAATACATCGTTTTTACTGAGTTAACTATGAAACATAACTTGGCAAAATAATTAAACTAGCTCTTGATGTTGGTTGATTAATTTTTTAGACCAAGAGAAATACTTTTTGTGATTTTCGACACTAATTTGAAAAATGATAGCTTTTAAAAAGTGATTATTATATCAATTACCATAAAATGATCAGCTTGTACGCATTTATTTAACATTAATTGCTCTTGCATATTGATGCAAATACATGTTAATTAATTATTCAAGCGTGAAAGTAAGTTTCAATGATTATATTATCAAATTAGCAATAACAATTATGGACATTTCAATCGCAAATATCTTCACTTTTATGAAGATTAAACGGTTGCAGTTAGACGTTCATATAATTAATTTAAATTTACAATTATAATTAAGGATCTGAGTAGAGTATCGCATTATCAAGCGTTGTGAGGATAAATGAATTGATGCGTACATCAGCTGAAAGTTATATGCAAAATTCGAATACCTGTATCGATTGTCAAAACCCAACATATCAATTTAATTCAATTAAAGTAATACTGACCTTATAAAATACCAATATGCGTGAAATGCCAAAATTATACTATTACACATACTATAATGTTACATTTCATAGTCATGAATTGTAGCCCATGACAACTATGATCACAATCGCATATCATTGGCAGCATGGTAACTCAATCCTGACATGGACCGTATGTAATGCATGCACGAAACGGAACATGCGATTAGAATGGGAAATAAAATGGTAATAAATTATATGGAGATGAAATAAAATGAACACAATACACATTCAACATTAATTGTTCATCAATGAAGGTGAACCCATCCCATAGTACAACTATATAGCCTGGCTTCATTTATAGGGAGCTCCAGATGAAGTTTCTGGAGGCTTTCATTTTCAAGGGCGCTCTATTTTGTAGCAAAGATCCAAAAATTACAATTTTGATTTATATTACAACGTTTTACCAGAGTTATTCCAATTTTACCTTAATATCGCAAGAAGTGATTTTCTGCCAGTTCGCCCCTTGGTCACGGTCACTTAAGTTTGCCTTTTGATTTACACACGATTACTTGTGATGTAACAACAATAAGATGATTGCAAATATATACATGTAAAATAACTTGGATTTTTTGAAAACTTAATATTCCATTTGTATACATACCTGAGTAATAAGGATATCGAATGGAATGTTGCATGTGCTGGTCATAATTTGAGGTGGGTATGCATTCCCTGCATGGAACAGCATTTGTGGAGTATTCGCATTTACTGGAACAGCCACCAGGGGGACTAGAATTTGTTGTGGTCACCCTTGATTGTGATTGGCTGGATACGGAACTGCTGGTAACTGAAACAAGCAAATTTTGCAAAAATTCTGCCAAAAGTAATTTAAGTTGTTTCTGGGATGAATTTACTAAATATGTTTACCGCGTGCTGCGTTTTAATATCATAATGGGTAGATTGCCTTAGTGATAAATGTATCTCGACATTTTACACTTTTGCCGAGGAGCTATATAGACAGTGCGAGGAGAGAGACTCGATGCATGTCTAGTTGTCAAAATAGCAGTGGTCCTTTTTATGACAAAACTTGCACATCGTGAAATACGTTAACAAACAGGATATTGCAAACGTGAGCCTGGCGCTTTTTCCAACTGACAAATAATGATCTTAATTTGTCTAATCAGCCATAAACAAATACAAGAATCACTCATAACTATAAATTGTAATTCAGCTTAATCGAATTGGAAACTGTAGTTTAACGCCAATAAAAGTTGTATGTAAATATTTGATGTGGCAATGCTGCGGATATCGTTGTATGCATGGGCTCACAAGTGAAGTCAGCTAATAAATTTATTAAAATTTCTACATTATTGCGTTTGTTTTTATTCATTTTTATAATTTTCATTTGAAATAACAAGCTTTAATAAAACTTCTTTAATATCAGATAGGACTGCATCCGCAACACCATTAGCAAGTCTAATCCAGGTCCACAATTAAAAATATTCCCACTAATGCGCATGCGCGAGATTATCCAGCTTGTTCTGATATCATTAGGATGCATCATAAAAGAAAAATCATAACTCGTGGTGCCAAGATATCCAAAAATCTAAAAATGAAATGGTGACAATTTGTAAAACTTACCACTTTTAGGTGAAATCTCTGAAGAAAGAATCGCATTAACGCCAAACTTTAGCCTCGGTTTGGACTGTTGTAGTGATGGGGAGACGCTACTATCTGGATCTTGTTGTTGCGGACTATGATTCCGCGGACTTCTATATCCCTTCTCTGTCCTTGTTTCTACACCCAAATAAAATGGGTATAGTCCTTGTTGCTGTGTGAAGCCGGTTGATGCTATAGGCTGTGGTCTCGTTAAATAACCCTGAGGTTTATCGGCTCTAAGGAGATTTTCCACCAAGAACGACGTGGAGTTATGTCCCATGGTTGGTTGCGCAACTGCTGCTGCCGCACTAACATGGGCTGCTGCCGCTTGGAGCAGTCCTTGATAATAAGGTGATGGCGCAAGAAGATTTGGAAACATATTGAGAGAGAATGATGTTTCAATCTCCAAAATTGTTCCTCTTTTCCGAGATGTCCCTTTGCGCAAATTGCTTGAGAAGAAACAGCTATCGTAAAACAGTCGCGATTTATGTTGATAATGTCGTTCTGGACTATTAAACAAGATATAAATATTTACTTTTTAATTAAAAGCTTTTCTAAAATAACTTTTCCCTATGATGAATTTGATTGGCACTTATAACTCCATCTTGCACAGTATCCTCAATATGCATTTATGTGCTCATTTCAAAATCTATAGCAATACATCTAGTCGAGTATGTAATTAAACTTTATTTACTAGTTGATATAAACGCCTGCTTTCAATATAAACTTCTGCATTTTGACGCAAACATTTAGTTTATGAATATTGCCTTTGACAGAAGGCAACACGTTTCTCTTATTTCATTGGCTGATGTATATCAATAGACAGAAAGCAAGACAGACATGCGAGTATTTCGTATAGATGGCGGTATACTACAGCTGATATTAACAAGACATTTAAATTCACGAATGATCCAAACTTTCCAAAACTATAAAAAATATCCGGACAAATAACCATGATGCTCCAACTTTTGTTGGCTATGATAAGAGAATTAATAGACATTTTACTCATCATTTAACCCAAACGAGAAGTATAATTTAATTGACACGCTGATAACGCCACCATAATGATCATACTTAATCAAATCATGATAACTGCTTCCATATCATATCGACATTAAACAACCCAAATTGTCAAATGGAGTGAAAATATTTAACTTTTTCGTCATCTATTAATTAATATTTCTCTGTTGTTGTAGAGACAAGATTAAACCAGACTCGAGAAGCACTCTTTAACACATCAATTAGACGCATAGCTTCACCTCGGGTAATTTGGGTAATTTAACCCATTTGTGTTTTAATTAAATTCTTATTGAAGCATCAATACTGATCACAACTACTGGAGGATTATTTCTTTCCAATTTGTTTGCAATGATGATTATAAAAGTCCTTTAGCAAGAGAAATTCAATAATTAGACTCTGCTAGTAAATGTCTGTCACAACAAGCTGACTATGATGATTCCATTAATTGTGCTTTTAGAGGTAGCCATCTTTCTTGAGAGATTCAATAAGGTACTTATGAAAATTGACATGGCCCGAGGATGATAAATGTATAGAAAATGTACACCCCTTGCAATACAGTTAGAAACTTTGATTCTTATACAGGGATGCGAGTCGGGCCAAACAATCAGCTTTCATAGACTGATGTTCCAAATGTTGATTTTGACCAAGACAGGGAACAAAATATTAATTTGATTTTACGAAGACAATTTTAAAGGTTGCTTCACTTTCGAATTCAGAGAAAACTCCCTAGAATATAACCCATGATAAATAGTTCAGTTATGATAGGAAGAAGAAAAGATTTTCTATAGTTGGTTGTGCAACAATTTTAAAGGTTGCTTCACTTTCAGAAAAAAAACTACCAAGAATATAACCCATGATAAATAGTTCAGTTATGATAGGATGAAAAAAGATTTTCTATAGTTGATTGTGCAACAATTTTAAAGGTTGCTTCACTTTCAGAAAAAAAACTACCAAGAATATAACCCATGATAAATAGTTCAGTTATGATAGGAAGAAGAAAAGATTTTCTATAGTTGGTTGTGCAACAATTTTAAAGGTTGCTTCACTTTCAGAAAAAAAACTACCAAGAATATAACCCATGATAAATAGTTCAGTTATGATAGGATGAAAAAAGATTTTCTATAGTTGGTTGTGCAACAATTTTAAAGGTTGCTTCACTTTCAGAAAAAACTACCAAGGATATAACCCATGATAAATAGTTCAGTTATGATAGGATGAAGAAAAGACTTTCTATAGTTGGTTGTGCAACAATTTTAAAGGTTGGTTTCCTTTCGAATTCAGAGAAAACTCCCTAGAATATAACCCATGATAAATAGTTCAGTTATGATAGGATGGAAATTTTTTTTTCTATAGTTGGTTGTGCAACAATTTTAAAGGTTACTGCACTTTCAGAAAAAACTCCCAAGAATATAACCCATGATGAATAGTTCAGTTATGATAGGATGAAGAAAAGACTTTCTATAGTTGGTTGTGCAACAATTTTAAAGGTGGCTTCACTTTCGAATTCAGAGAAAACTCCTTGGAATATAACCCATGATAAATAGTTCAGTTATGATAGGAAGAAGAAAAGATTTTCTATAGTTGGTTGTGCAACAATTTTAAAGGTTGCTTCACTTTCAGAAAAAAACTACCAAGAATATAACCCATGATAAATAGTTCAGTTATGATAGGAAGAAGAAAAGATTTTATATAGTTGGTTGTGAAACAATTTTAAAGGTTGCTTCACTTTCAGAGAAAAATCCCTGGAATATAACCCATGATAAATAGTTCAGTTATGATAGGATGAAGAAAAGATTTTCTATAGGTTGTGGAACAATTTTAAGGGTTGCTTCAGAGAAAATAGAAGTACTGTATGACGATATCCATGCTAGGCACGACATTAACTTATGTACAGTTAAAAGTGAACATTTTAATCCATTTTACAGAAATGAGTAACGAGTGTTGTATTTAGTCTGAATAGAACACGTCAATATCAAAATTGGTATTGAAGATGAAATAATTAACGATTTGTCAAAATAAACAAATCGTCAATCAAAAAGATGCAACCTTGTGTTACAAATAATTGGAACTAAGAATAAAAAAAACATATTATATCTACATGTATTGATTACGTAGAACTTCTAATTCGAAATAGTTTTTGTATTATTTATGCCAAATCTTGATGTCAAAACCGTTAACGTTTTTCCCGTCATTCTAGAGATCTCAATTGAACTTTAACAGGTGGACAATGCTAATCAAATGAGGCTAAAATAAAACAATAAAAGACAATGATAATTTCATAGTTCTACCATATGGAGTTAGTACCGTATGTAAATGAGGCTATGAGGGAATCATGAATGCAAACGAAGATGTGAGACGTCTTTGTAAGCCCTTTGATTGTGTGTAACATTGGGAGAGAGATCAATGATCTCTTGGTTAGTAATCCACTACACGCTTCACTCACCCATAGCACATATGTGCTTATACCTGACACAAGGTGCATTTACCTGAAAGTCTATTCACCCATCTGTTCCTTAAGAAAACGAACTCGAAGTGTCCGATAGTATATACCGTTTTTGAAAATCTAAAATTGATGGGATCATATACCAGTATGATATTGTTTGTGAGTGATGCTGATCGTTTTCACTTTACACATGATGACAATGTGGCGATGAAATTAAAATTGATTTACTTTATGACTCTCAATTAATTAAAAGTTATATTTGTATAAATGCCAAATTATGTTAATATAATGACTGCAATTTGTAATCAACTGGTCAAAGGTTCCCTCTGAACGTCTTGCCTTTAGACCATTGGTCAAGCTTGAATTACTCGTTACCATGGCAGCGCCATGAAATTCGTACTTGTTGTGTCGCCCGTCTTTGGGATATGTATTCTCTTTATATCGGTTATTTGCATTAAATTTCACTTAATATGATGCTATGAGGTTTTGTAATTAATTGTTTTTTAAGCTACACCGAGTTAAGGGATGTATTTTTCAGATTAACTCAAGGACTGGTCTCCAACACTGTTTTATGTTGCAGTTCTCTCTCTTGTTTTAGCTTAGTGTGTGTCATTAAACGCCCATCCTTACCAGAGTTTGACACGACTCAGTTCACAGAAAAAAACTAATTAAGTGTTAATTGGCATAGCTCATTTGAATAGATTTCCTATTAAGTCTATTTCTATCACCGAATTCATTTTTATTGTGGTCAAATTGAATATCATACATGAGCGATAGATTACAAACTTAATTATCGAGAGTGTTTTAATATGTTAAAAAAGAATTTGAATTCATGTATAAAACTGGTTTCGTTGTAACACTACCTGATGGTTGGTATAATGTTACCAATTTATAGGAGTGTGTTTGTATAGTGGTATTTATATATCTTTAAAAGCGTCATTACACAATTTTCCACTTTCCCTCGTGATAATGCATCGTCACCTTATGAGGATTTATGTAGTGAAATGCAATCTTAAATCAACAATAACAAGTATAACATTTAATTCCCCATACGCTTTGTTTTTATTGTCAGTGTTAATGACGTTATATTTGACTGAAATAAATTTATGGGATTTCTCATATGTTTTTAACTTACAATCTTCACATTAAATATTAATTGACGTTTCGAATGCATGTTTCTAATGATTTAAGTTATTCTATTTTTTGCAAATGTTGCCCGCTGCTGATTACATTTTTATGAAGCATTGATTGTATACAACATAAGAAAAGTTATGTCTATGCCAACGGAGGAACCGTTACCATAGCAACAAAATACTTAATCATAGATTAATAAACAAAACTTTTATAACCTGTTGATATAAACAATGTAAAGTACACGTGCATACCTATTGCTAGATTATAGGTTGTGGAAAGGTAAATATGTCATTATTAGAAAAAATGAAGATCTTCTAAGACACCCGAGAAAACACGAACCAATGCATGTTATCTTACACTTATCGCATGGTTACCCGATGAAACAAAATCCAAACAGAAGCGAACGTAACAAATAAAGATAAAAAATATGGAGGAGCAAAAAATGACACTATTGTTGACTGCTTGTCTATCAGGTAATAAAGGTGTGCTCTCATCGACACTTTTTATTGGTAGTGTGTGATAATCTATTGTAAGAAAGGAAGCAAGAGTTTTTAACTATCTCTTTAATTATTGAATGATGGAAAATATGTGTTTTAAGCCACTTAAGTTAGCATGCGGAGTGTGTCTAGAAGCAACCAAATGATGCAAAAGTCTTCTTTTTTATCATTATTCTCAAGTGGAGGCCTTTGTTTTAAAAATACATGGTATAATGAGTTACCTTGAAATAGTGTGTAGATTAGAGTACATCCCTGTTTCATGCCTATGTATCATCTACACCTGCTGAATATCACATTGGATATGTTTGATGGTCATTTTGATTCTCAAGTGGTCTGTGCTGTTCTTTGAAAGGACATATTGTGCAGGTCCTCATGCCACATTATGACGTGGTCATCTGTAATGAATAAAATCAAAAGCCTTTAGTAGATCCATAGAAATGGTTACTAATCAAATTCCAATATTCTATGACTTATGAGAAATATAAACATGATAGCATTATGCTTAAGGGGTTAAGACAGTGGCATTGAGAAATTATTGAGCAAAAACAATACACATAATCTACTTTTAAATAGGTCAGAAGAAACTTTCACCTCTGTGCATCACCATAACAGCGTCACACACGTGTAATGGTCAGTCGAAAAATGTAATAAAGTTTTAATGAATCTCGAAGAATGCTAATCGAGTTTGACCATTTAAAGAAAATAAACCAATAATTAAGAAAGACGTGTGACTAATTACGGTATTTCTTCCTAGGTGATGAGCTGTGTATAGCGCTTTTCAATTTATTTTACGTTTATATTTTCGATTCGTTTTTCATTACCACACTATGAATAAACAACATGTTCATGGAATTATTTTCTTCGTATGTTTCACCAATGAAGAGTACTGTTTGATATATCACTTGCGAGAACCGATTGCCAATAACTGAAAAGCTAGCTGTCTGATTTATATTAGAATTTTCACCGGGGATAAACTCTCAGATACCCCTCCCCTGTTAACTATATATGAGAAATGTTGACACTCGCGGCATTTCTGAGAGAATTAACGGATTTCCTAGTTTTACAACTTTTAGCATAGCATATTTCTCATTTTCATATCAAATACATACCTTTATGAGAGATGATTGGTTTGTTAAAGTGGTTTGTTGGGTTTGTGGATCAGGTTGTCCTGCTGTATTATAGTCTTTACTTACATGTATCTGGTGACTGTCCACTCTCTGATGACTGTCCATGCTTGGGTAGGAGGTTGTGGAGAGATTATTTGGCATGAAAAACATTGCTATCTGTATACAATCAGATGATGTGGGTTGTGATTTTGAAAAAAATTTCATTCAGTCAGTTTTGTTGGGTCATTTTTAAATATGCATTGTCTCTAAGGTTTTTCTCTCGGGCAATTAGTGATGTTCTATTTTGCTTATAAAAAATCTAATACATAGAAGTAAACTATTTACCGTAGATATATCCAGAGACCAACTTATGAAACATTGCCGAGACATGTATTGAGAAAATCAACAGAACAAACAATTGCCTGAGTTGCAATTTGA